AAACAGGTGTGATACAAAGGAATAGTAATAACGAAGAATAAAACAGTTTAATTGGAAATCATGAGTCACAAGGAGTGGATGCATCTGCGCCATTGACAACGATTTTGAGCCATGTCACCAATTGTTTCTAACTATTGGTTTTTACCATCCCGAGGACCCCAACCAGGAAGCCAGTCTACACCTTCCTACGTGGCCTAGACTAACTGTTGTGGATTTCATTGACTGGTGCCATGTTTTCGTTTGACCACCGCTAGCTCTTTTCCAGCCTGACCCTATATCACCTAACATTGCCCATTGTCGAGGAAGGCGATGACTAGGCATACGTAGCACATGTCCTAACCATCTCAATCGATCTAATTTCACAGTCTCGTCGACTGATTTCCCCACCTTACCCAGCACTCGACGCCTAACCTCAATATAGCTCACCTTATCATACCATTTCACATGGGAGATAGAACGCAGACACCCATGATCGAAGACAGCTAATCTTTTCATTTCTTCCTCTCTCAATGGCCAGGTCTTACAGCCATGTATTGTACTCTTTATTGATCCATTGTAACCTTTTTGTAGTCAAGTAGGATAATATTCTTTGAATCTTTCAGATGAAAAACTCATCGAACGACCCATATATATCTCGTTCCGAATAAGTAAGTTAATTAGTAGATACACATAGAAATGGTTAGATGTGATAATTTATCTTTGGAGTTGTTGGAGAACAATGGACGGGAGCTTGAGAATACCAGTCGTAATGTAGCAGCAGAGAATGTTCTTTTCAGGGCGTTAGATATTCTTCTCTTCAGGATTTCGGTCATAAGGTTGCTTTTTAACGTTGCATTCATGTATAGCATCTTCTTCGGCACAGAGATGGGTTGTTCTTTGTAGGTTTGTGGCCTCTGTGTGTTTATTTGTAGAGCGTAGTTGGGGGGGATAGCTATTCTGAAGTCGTGCCTTCCTCAAAAGAGTGACCTCTTTTTCTACTGATTCTAAGACGCAGATAAGCATCTTTTTTTCTGGGTGTTTTCATATTATGAACCCCTCAAGTTACAATCTGATTATTCCTGAATAATTCCCATTCGGACCTTAGTAGACAAAAGACAAGTAGTTCAGCAAAGAGTCTCTTTTCGGCGAATTCATTTTCAAAGCTGTACAATCGCAAATATATATGGTTATTTTGTGTGTGTGTGTATACATTAAATTTGTCAAACGAAAATACGGTTAGTAAGTTCAGGTGAATTGGATGTTCATATGAGAGGATAGTAACAAAAGTGATGAGTTGTCATAGCAGACTGCTTCATGGCAAGCCTCGAGAACGGCCCACTCAAATCAACCATCGACAATTTCCAGTTGTACGTTAGATATGTTGACGACATCTTTATCATCTGTGATGACGGTCACGATCTCAATCAACTACTGAAAATATTCAACAAATGCCATCCAGCCACAAAGTTCACTTTGGAAACTGAAAATGAATCTAAAATCCCTTTTCTTGACGTTGAGCTTACAAGGAGAGATGATGGAACTTTAAGAAGGTCAATCCATAGGAAACCGACTTGGAACGGACAATTAACAAGTTTCTACAGCTGGGTACCAATCAGTCGGAAAAGAAACCTAATTAAATCCCTCGCCACTTGCGTCAGACGCATCTGCAGCTCCGAAACCATGGAAGAAGAACTAAACTTCCTGAGGGATATCTTCATACAAAATGGCTACCCACCAAGATTTGTAGACAAAAACATCAAACAGAAAAACCAAAAGCAAGAGACACCATCCGTGCCAAAAAAAATACTTTATATGAACCTAGACTTCAAAGGAGACCTACTCAGTGACGTCCTCAGAAGGAGAATTTCCACCTCTTTAGGAAGAACTTTCCCTGCGGCAACACTAAGAATAGTGTTCTCCAGTCGCCCGCTGATCTGCAGAAACCCAAAGGACAAGATTCCGCACATGACCACTTCTATGTGTATATATCAGTTCACCTGTTGCTATGGAGCCAGGTACATCGGTCGTTCAACGCGCATCCTGTCAAAAAAGGGTCAAAGAACACTACCCAGCGTGGCTACAGGAAGGAAATAATGGCCATATAAGGAGTGCAATAATCGTACATCTAGTCAACACTGGTCATTCCATCTCAACGAACGCCTCCTTCAAAGTGATCTACAAAGTGAAGAACAACCTCCCAAAGACAGTACGATTTCGTCTTCTACTCGCATGGTAACAACTCCGTTGATTTGACCCAACTCTTCTTTGTTTGTTTGATTTGACCTTACTTGTGTTTGTATGCTTATTTTTCTAACTTAAAACCCTTGTGTAATTCTGTATACTATTTTGTTTCCATGTACACCCTTTGAGTGCACCTCATTCATCAAACTATTCATGCCATTGAGTAACTCTTATTTAACAATCATTTATGACAACTCATCACTTTTGTTACTATCCTCTTATCAACATCCAATTCATTTGAACTTACTAACCGTATTTTCGTTTGACAAATTTAATGTATACACACACACACACACAAAATAACCATATATATTTGCGATTGTACAGCTTTGAAAATGAATTCGCCGAAAAGAGACTCTTCGCTGAACTTTTTGCTCTTAAATTCAATCTGCTAAGACGAAAACATTCACTGGATACAGAACTCCACCCACGGAACAAGCCATTCGAGTGCAATTGAATTGCAACTCTACGCAGCATCATCGAACAAAGCGAAGAATGGCAGCCAAATTTCCCTCTGTCTTAAATCCGCCTACTGTGGAAATGCCTTCAACAACTTTGACCGTGAAGCGATTTCGATGCTACTTCAACACTATGGAGTGCAGTGCTCCATCTATATCGTTATTAACCTCCTTCAACAGCTGTATAACGGTGCCACGTGTCAGGTTATCCAAAGTGGAAAATTCGTTGAAGACTGAAGTGAAGACAGGAATAAGACAAAGCTGCTTGTTTGCTATTACCGGTAATGTTCGCAAGTCTGGTGAACTGTATCATGTGAAACATGATGTGTGAGAAACGATAATTCGTTAGATTATTAAAAAGACTCTAGAAGATCTGAACTTGACAGACAACTCAACTCTAATGTCACATAGACCCGAGTACTCACAGGTAAAAACCTACAATTGGCAGAATAAGTAGCCAGCAAAGACAGGATTTCAAGTGAACATGGAGAAGACGGAGGTGATGAAGATAACCAGCCAACAACAACAAACACTAATCACTATTTACGAGATAAATCTGAAGGGTAGAATCGCCCGAACTATAGATAGATGACATGGATAAAGATGGCAAAACCAGGATCGAAAATACAAGGCAGGCCTTCATCACACTGAAATCAGCATGGAAATCTTCCGCACTCCACCTCAGCATAAACAACGAAATTCGGATTTTCAACACCAATAACAAGTTAGCCAATTCCTCCATACAGGTCAGAAACTTAGCGTTCGCATCATTCAAAGCATTCCCAGTGAACCATTCCAGACCCTAATCAATAGCTAAATTCACTGACCCAATGTTGAAGATCAAATAGCCGGCTAGAAAGAATTAGCAATAAGGTAGTCTGGGAACCAACTAACCGGGACATATGCCGAAAAAAATAGTGACCGGTAGGACACAAGCCGTGATATTGGGTGCCAGACTAGAGCTCCAGTGGAAACCAAAAGAGAAACAACGAGTTGGGCGTGGGTTCGACGTTGACATGGATGAGATCGTTTGAGTAGAAGATAGGAGATTGTGGGCAGTCATGAGGCCAGCTGATCACTACCTCAGGGAAGCCGTAAAGTTTCACTTGGAACCCAAGGGGGATAACAAAAATAATGATAATCTTCAGACACTATAAAGGTGTCCGCATTAGTTGGGGTCATATCATCAGGCCTTTGGAGGGAACACAGGAATCAGACAAGGGCACTTGTTATCACCAATCATATTCCTAATTGTGGTGGACTGGATTATGCGTCAGACAGTGGGAAACGAGAAGACAGGGATATCCTGGACAGACGTGAAGAACCTAGAAGACCTGGATTTCGCGCGTGGATGATTTATGTTTGGTGTCACACAAAATCGAAGACTTACAAGCGAAAACTGACAAACTGGTCGAAGAAGCAGCCAGAGAAGACAGGACTCCAGGTGACCATAGACAAGACGGAGGTTATGAAAATAACCAACCAACCAACAACAACAACAGCAGCAGCAACATCCAGTGCCAATCACCATCAACGGGAGGGATTTGAAAGAGGTTACTTCATTCACTTATTTAGAGAGCATTGTCTCAACTACAGGAGGAACGGATGGACGAGGATGTCAAATCGAGAATCGGAAAGGCGAGAAATACAGTCATCAACCTGAAACCAATCTGGAAATCTTCGTCACTCAACTCAGCATCAACAACAAAATTCGGATTTTCAATCCAAACGTCAAGTCAGTCACTTCTTCTATACGGATGAGAAACTTGGCGCGTCACAAAGAATATTTCCAACAGCCTGTTGCAGACCTTTATCAACAATAACTGTCTTCGCTCTATACTCAAGATCAGATGGCCGGAAGGAATCACCAACAGGAAACTTTCGCCCAACAAATATGCAGGAGAAAGTGGAGATGGATTGGACACTCACTCACTGAGGAGGCCGCTGGGTGACATCGCGTGTCAGGCCATTGCTCGAGTGGAACACGAAAGGGAAGCTGCGAGTGGGACGTCCAAGGATAACATGGAGGAGATCGTGTGAAGAGGAGCTGAAACAATATGGACTAATATGGATGCAAGTGAAAAGTACAGCGGAAGACAGAAGCAGAAGGTGGAGACGTGTAGTTGAAGCCCTATGTTCCACTAGGAACCTAAGGGAATAATAATAATAATATCATCAATTGGGATCGGACGTTTTCGTCTAACATTATGAATCAATGAGGATTGAGAACTGACCTAAAAATAGGAATAAAAGTTGTTTATCTCAAGTGTTTCGCTGTTATTATTATTATTATTGTTATTATTTTTATTAATATTGACTTACCCCTTGCTGTCCACCAATTTTATCATCTCGGCTAGATTTTAAATTCACATTGGGTTGACAGTATGAGCTTTCAAGAAATATGACACCAGATGGTCGTTCAGCGCGTTCACAATCAAAGTAGAATAACAAGTTTTGATAAAGAATGAAGTAGCTAAAATATATACATAAAATAAGGGGAAAAACATGAAAACAAAACAAAAAGTTTGTAAAAGATGATTAGAAAAATGTTCTTGTTTTTTTTTCGCGTTTACGAATGAATATACAAGTTTCCAAGATTTTATCTGACAACAAAATTCAAGCTGATTTGAAGACGCCTATGAAAACTTTAATGGGAACGAGAAGAATGAATTAGTGTAGGTGTAAAACTTGGGCAGCATGGTACTACAGAATGCAATTTCATATATTAGTGGAGAAGTTGTTTTCAAATATCTCGCAGTGATGCTGTGGTAATTAACTGGATGACAGAGTTTCGAGCATAAGTTTTGTAGGGATTTTGTTTAATCTGGTTGGAGGATTTCAGCATGAGTTGACATCAGTTAGAGAACTATTAGAAAACCTGGGAGTACTAGACAGCTGATTCGTCAACCTAGTTTAGGACTCTTCATCAGTACGCAACCACCATAGTGGTTCGAACTTAGGACCTTCTGATTACCTTCTGGTTACAAGGCTGGTGAGGTCGTAGACCACTATGCCACTGGGACCTGATCCATTGGTCAGCCCATGAATTCTAACTTCTGCTAATTCACGATATGGCGTTACCACTTCTCAATGTCTTCTTCGACGAGATACTGCATCAACTTCACTCTGCATTACCCTACTGGTCACGGTTTTCTCTATTTCCTTCTCTCTCCCTCTTCCCCTTGTTGTTTCTTGTCACTTTCCATATCTCTAATTGCACATGTGAGGTGTTGAATCGATAAACAAACATTCAGTGATATTATTACCATTGTTTCCTTTTATTCCTAGAGGAACATAAGGCTTCAGCCATGCATCTCCATTGCGTTCGTTTCGCTGCTAGAGTCTTCACCTGGCTCCGTGTCTGCCCACAAGCTTTCATCTCCTCTTCACATGATCTCCTCCGAAACACTCTTGCACTGACGACCAACTCGCCGCTTCCCTTTCGGGTTCCACTCGAGCAATGGCTTGTCTAGTGATGTCACTCGATGGTTTGTTTCCTCAGAGTATGGCCAATCCATCTCCATTTCTTCCTGCCTATTTGTTTCACAACCAGTTCTTGGTTGGTTGGCTCCCAGAGATCCCTGTTAATGATCTTCTCTGGCCATCTGATTTTGAGTATTGAGCGAAGACAACTGTTAATTCAGTGATAAAACTCACCAAAACACCACCAAACCATATTACTTTCCATTAGTTTCACCCCGTCCCAATCATCATACTGTGTGATGATGACATGCAAATGAATGCAATGCGTTGTGATGACAAAGCCGTGTTCTAGGTTATTCAACCTCACAGGCTTAATCATTCCAGATGTCTAGCTAAATATTTACGTTCAAACGATCTGACTGACCCTTACCTACTAGTATGAACTATGTAATTACCCCACTCAGAGTCAGCATTACACAGCATTTAGTAAATTATATTATTGTTTTTCGTCTAAATGGATCTTTCCGGCGGGTCCTTAAGACGACAGAGTTTATCTCTGAAAGAGGTGGACGTTTGGTTGGTTGGTATATAAGCCATCCTAATTCCAGTCTGATTGAGAGTCATATGTAAGGCCTCTGATGCTCCTGCTTTTATAAGGCTATACTGAGAAGGCCTTGATTTCTATATTATTTATGTTATTTTTGTCATTTTCATCACCGATCTTATCTTTTTCTATGGTCTTTCATAAATTTCTGAATAAATTCTGGTAGGCAGTTAGTTATACACACTAGTAATATTTTTTCTTTCTTTACCCAGCGCTTGCTTTCCAAATTTATCACCGAACACTTACCAACATGGTTTTACAAAGGAGAAAATCGATGCCCCCGCAGCTCCATCTTTTTTAGAACATCTGATAGAATCCGGACACCAAGCTACACTGCAAACAAACTTCAAAGTCGTCTACAGAGTAAGAAGTAGTCTTCCTAAAGGTGTACGAATCAGACTTCTTCAAACTGCAGAAGCAATGGCTAAGTCCTGAACTCTGCATGCAGAAGAAGTTCGTTAAATCACTACAACTGCAATGGACGTAATCTATCTTATTACCCGATGAGTAAATTCTACCTAATCTTTTTTTTTCTGTCTCTTCATTAGTATTATTTTGTCTTCTCAACTGTAATATTTTACATTTGAAACTTTCTTGTTCTCTACCCCCACCCGATTCAATTTCTACACCTCACTACCACTGTTACTGACTTGAACAACGCACAGTTTCTAGTCATTCATGTTACGTCATCCAACTTATTCACTCAATTTCATTTCTATTTAATCTCTACCTGTAATTACCTCTGTTGCTATCCTGACCTAAGTTGAAACATTTTAGTCAATTATATTACGTCGTCTAACTTACTAACTCAATCTTACTTTAGTTGCTGTCTGATTAACCTTGTTTCTATATTAGATCATTCTTGTATTACCTGATTAATTATCTAAACTTGACAAACCTCATGTACACACACACACACAAATAATTATATATAAATGCGATTGTACAGCTATTTGAATGAATTCGCCGAAAAGAGTCTCTTCGCTGAACGTCTTCCCTTTTTCTTTATTTGTATGGTTTCATAATTTAAATCTTACTAGTTAGGCTCCCGGCAAGTTTATGTCGACATTTGACTTCACGAAAGTATCCTTACTAATTCTGGGTGGGATTAATTACAGCCTAAGTTGGGCTTTCTAACTTGGATGGTCTAATCGTGAACCTGCTGTTATCTTCTTAGACAATATCTTGATACTGAAGTTCACCTTGACGACTTTGTCGAGGAAGATAATGTCAGCTTTGTAATGGAGCTAGTCACTAGGTAAGAGAAGGAAAACGTTTTTATTTCCTTTACCTTCCCAAGTGGAACATCGGGTTTCAAACTAGAGGCTCAAAGTTTCGGTAGCAGTGGTGCTTACTTTTACAGGATGAGATCGCTAGCCTTGTGCCCAACCTTCCCTCCTTACTAATCCTATTGGCGGCTTAGCGAGGTGAGGGAGCGCGTTTGTGGCCTGGTATCGAACCCGGGACCACATGGGGAGTGGTTGGTGAGCATTCTACCAACGTGTCAACGACGCACAAGAGGGGACAACTACACCAGTCATAACTGTTTTACCGTATAAAGAAGGAACATCAGAGGTCTTACGTGTGACTCTTAATGAGGACCCAACCGGAAAGATCCATTTAGGCAAAAAACAATAATATGATCTACCAAATGCCATGCAGTGTTGACTGTGAGTGGGGTCAACTACACAGGCCAGTCAAACTGGCAGATCGGGGTGAATTAGATTATTGTAATGTAAACATTTATCTAGACATCTAGAACGACTGAGCCTGCGAAGTTAAGTAACCTAGAAAACGGTTCAGTCATTGCAACACATTGCATTCACTTGAGTGTAATCACACAGTGATAGAGTGAGTGTGACAGTGTAACGACTGAATACAAGGGTCATACCACAGTTCATTTATTGAGAAAATCAAGAGGCATTTGTAGATTTTTTGTTCATTATTATTATCGTTATTGTTAGCGGAGGAGAAACCTCTTCTGATTGGTTGTTTTGTTTTGCTGAAGGTTATTCTGTACTGCTTGTGACCGTTTCTTAGAAAGTTAAGCCATATGTCTGCAAATCGTATATGCACCCGTTAAGTCTACTGTGATTGGTTGGTGAGTTCCTTAAGGTTAAGCTTTCTTATTGCTTTTTTTCTCATGACCCTGATTCGGGCTATAAACATTGATGTTAATTGTTGTCTACAATTTCGGCTTGCAGGCAGCTTTCACCACAGTGGGATGAACTGGTTAGCTACAAGAAGACGAGTAACTTCAATGAGGTTCTCATGACGGAGTGTTGGAATTTATGCTGAAATGGGGGCGACTGGTTCTGCTCAGCAATATGGACCACAAATCACAAGTATGAACAGGTAAAGTTTTTCACTGTTGGTCGTATTTCTAGACGTTTCAACAAGAATGACTAGCCATTTCAGAAGATATTTATCCACTGTTTCGTTGACAGATATGTTTATAAGCTATTACAACCCACAGTCTCAGATTCTGGAGGAGGATATCTGAAAACAACACATTATTCTAATAAACTGACATCCAATTGACAAGCGAATGACAACACTAGGATGTGTCCTTTCAAGAACAGTAGACAAGAAACGTCTCGAATTAGAAGACTCGTTTTAGCATAGTGAAGAGTGACGGAAGGTGGCATCAGAAGATCTAGGCACAGGCAAGAATCAAAGTAATAGGTCTAATACTTCATGGTTCTGCTGCTAGCGGTGAGAGTTTCGCCAGCAAACGTTGCGACACAATCGGTAAAAACTTCATTGAAAATGGGCTCAAAGAATAACAGATGCTATTTATTCTTTTCAAGTATTGATTTTACAGGAATCTGACTGATCTCATCTCGAAATGACATCAGTTAGAGAACCGCGGAAAAACAGGCAGCTGAGGTCAGTGGGTACATTCACCACAGCTGACTAATTGGATCCTAGAGATGACTAGTCCTCGCTGGAACTCCACAAAGTTGATCCTTTAGTCCGTCACTTATGAATTATTGTACTGATCATTGGTGACCTCCTGCGGTTAGAGTCCTGGGTTCGACCCCTTGTTTGATGCTAGGCATGTAATGCTAAATAATCGCTGAGCTAAAACGTAGTAATACAATTCGACATTGTGATTTATTTGAGTGTTCAAGCTAATCTTTAACATTTGAGTCCTGGTAGCGATGGTGTTATTGGATTATTTGACGTCGAACAAAATTTTCGAACTACACTCTCAGTCTAGGCTGGACATCGAAGTGATCCGGAAACCACTGAAGTTCGTTAGACCTCTTATAACCTTCTCACCAACCTCTGGCTTCAAACCTCCTGGTCCTACGTCAAACGTCCATTATCCTAGTTACTCAAGAGCAATAGTAATCGACGCACAAAAAGATGACATCTCTACCATCCTGCTGGTATTTTTCGTGGTACTCGGAATTTCGACATTTCTTGTTCGTATAAGCAACACCGGTGCCAAAACTACAATAATGTTGGACACAAAAATGGTTCTACCTAGCGACACCCTAAACAAGTCTTTGCAAACACCATTCCCAATCAGCGCTTGCCCACCAAAAATTCATCCCTCGGATGGGATAACTGCTGTTTCCCATTTAAAGACGCCAAACTCTCCCCTGTCTCTAACGAAAATTTGTTCTCAGGCGTGCGACAGCCTCTCACACTCAGATGGGAGATAGGAGGCCACAAATACTCCAGACCATCCGGCAAAAAACAGACCAACCCCTCAAAGTCAGCGCAGACCCCAGGTAATATATTTCTTTTTGTAAAGAGCGGGAAATCATATACAGATAGTTAGACAATGAATTATCTTTTATTCATGTGATATGCTGAACAAGGTCAGTCTGGAAATAAACCAATCAGAACTGACCTACATAAGTGATCGATATCCAATGTGGAAATAGACCAATCACAGCTGGCTTGCGTAAAATAACGCCCACTATTTTATTGATCAGTGATCACAGACTAATTTAAATCATACGTTATTGTTTAAAATACAGTGTAGCTGATGCTGAAATATAATTTCCGGCTCACGTCGTTTTGTCTTCTCGCCGAAGTACAGCGGTTTGAGTGTTAGCTGTTGCTAGTATTGTCGAGTGGTATTCGTGATCAACGCGTCTATCACCAACATGACGTCCCCGTTTCAATCTCAATATTAACAACACTTATCAAACATTATTATTATTAATTATTACTTTTATTACATAATTTTTAATACTTACCGTAGTTGCCATTTACCAGTATCTAAACTTTTCTTCCATAAATTCCCACATAATTTAGCTATACCATTTTCACGTGCTTTATTCACTAAATAGTATAATTGTTGTTCATTTGCACGTAAAGATTTTTGCATTCTCTTCCTTTCTTTTTTTTTTACTTCTCAAATTCTAATTATTCTAATTATCACTATGATTATTTAGATTAATTATACAAAAGTGTTTTCAATATTCAATGTGTTCAATGTTAAATTCTTTTTCCGTTGTATATATCTCTTTTGTGTTCAAAAGAAGATATATTAGGATATGTATTTATGTGGATGAGAAGATGGATGTTAATGTTTGTTAATTATGAGTTTATCTACTTTAACTTTGTTTACTGAGCCGTCTTTCGTCTCTCAACCTTTCTCTCTCTCTTTTGATAAATGCTTTGATTGTTTTTTTTCCTTGACTTATATACAGTGATACAGTGATAACAGTGAATACAATTCTTAGATCAAAAGGAATCCCGAAAAATGTTTAGTTGATTGCACGTCTGTAAAGGAATAAATACGACAAATACAAAAAATATTTAGAATACAACAAAAAAATAATAATTATTATTGGTAACCAAAAACTACTCATGGCATTTAAGTAGTAAGTGAAACATGTGATTTAAAAAAAGTTTCAGTTTTCTTTTTAAGATAATAAAGAAGGCAACTAGAAAATTATTAGATGAAATACACTCATAAACAAATGAAACATGTTCTTGTACAATAGTATTCCTTTTGCAAGAGTTATTCTACGGGGATTTGATAACGGATTGATATCAATCAGTTAGAGAGCCACTGAAAACTAGGGATTCATCGGCTGTGCACGAATACAGTGGCCCTTTTCAGTCGATGATATTGGCTACTGCAAGTCGCGAATTGGTGAAAGTTAGAATTCATGGATTGGTCATTGATTCAGGTCTAATCACTGGCGGAATGACCTATGAGATTGACTTGTTACCGGAAGGACTTGGGTTTCGAACCCTATTGGTGGGTGTGGAATCCTGATGACTACCAAGAGACTAGGACGAAACAGCTCTTCAATAATCCTCACCGGTTTTCAATGGTCCTCTAACTGATATCAGTCTGTGGTGAAAATTGAAATAAAATTTTCAAATATTGATTTTTGTGGGGATTTTGTTTGATTTCGTGGGAGGATTTCATTATGAGTTGACATAAATTAGAGAACCATTGGAAAACCGGCTGGGAGTACTAGACGGCTGTTTCATCCCACTAGTTGTGGACTCTTTAACAGTATTCACCCACCACGGGTTGTAAACGCAGGAATGCTTAGAAGCATCAGCGGCCTTACGTGTGACTTTCAGTGAGGCTGGAATTAGAGTGGCATATATACCAACCAACCAACCAACCAAACGTTCACCTATCTCAGAGATAAACTCTGTCGTCTTAAGAGCCCACCTGAAAAATCCAGTTAGTCAAAAAATAATATAATTTACCAAATGCCATGTAATACTGACTGTGAGTGGGGTGAATTACATAGGTCATACTAGTAGATAGGGGGCAGTTAGATTGTTGGAACATAAATATTTAGCTAGACATCTAGAATGATTGAGCCTGCGAAGTTGAATAACCTAGAAGACGGCTTAGTCATCACAACGCATTGCATTCATTTGCATGTCATCATCACACAGTATGGTGATTGTGACGGGGTGAAAGTAATAGAAAGTAATATAGTTAAGTGGAGAGAGAGACGTTAACCAATAAACTTTTGTCTATCGTAGCAGCACCTCACATGTGCAATTAGAGATGTGGAAATTGGAAAGAAACAACAAATGGAAGAGGGAGAGAGAGAAGGAGAGAAAGCCGTGAGCAGTAGGGTAATGCAGGTTGAAGATGAGGCAGTAACTCATCGAAGAAGACATTGAGAAGTGGTCACGCAATATCTTGAATTGGCAGGAGTTAGAATTCATGGGGTGGCCTTTGGATCAGTTCCCAGTGGCATAATTGCCTCCGACCTCGCTAGCCGTGTAACCAGAAGATCCTGGGTTCTAAACCCTGTGGTGGGTGAGTACTGATGAAAAGTCGCGAACTAGGTTGACTAATCAGCTGTCCAGTACTCTGCGCTTGTAAACAGCGAGCTCATAGACCATAAAGCCACTGGGACCCGCCAATCCAACGGTTTACGAGCCCATGAACTCTAACTTCATTATTCACTTGTCAATTTGGATAAATTTAAATTCATCCAATTTCTGAAAATCAAGCTTCATTGTTGAACATTGGATTATTTATTACGATTACTGTATCCTATAATTCCTAGAGGAACATAGGGCTTCAGCCACACGTCTCCATTGCTTTCTGTTCTCTGCTGGAGTCTTCACCTGGCCCCAAGTCTATCTACACTTTTTCATCTCCTCTTCACTTGACCTCCTCCAAGTCACCCTTGCACTGACGACCAACTCGCCGCTTCCCTTTCGGGTTCCACTCGAGCAATGGCTTGTCTAGTGATGTCACTTGATGGTTTCCTCAGAGTATGGCCAATCCACCTCCATTTCTTCCTGCCTATTTGTTTCACAATCGGTTCCTGGTTGGTTCGTTCCCAGAGATCTCTGTTGCTGATCTTTTCTGGCTGATCATCTGATCTTGAGTATTGAGCGAAGACAGCTGTTGATTGATGAAAGTCTGTAGTTTGTTCAAAATGCCCTTCGTGACGCGGCGCCAAGTCTCTGATCCGTATAGTAGCACTGACTGACTTCACATTGGAGTTGAAAATCCGGATCTTATTTTTGATGGTGAGTGCTGTTGACCTTCGCATAGATTTGAGAGTAGTGAAAGCTTGTCTTCCTTTTCCGATTCTTGCTTTGAGATCCTCGTCAGTTCCGCTTGTAGTTGAAACGATGCTTCCAGGTAGGTAAAAGAGGTTGTTTCTTTCAGGTTCCTCCCATTTATTCTGATCGTTGTCTGTCATTACATAGTATTATTGATCCCTTTGCTTCCGAGTAGAACATACGCCTTCAACAACACATCGCCATTTCGTTCGGTTCTCTGCAGTAGTCTTTAGCTGTCCCCAAGGTTTCTCATATTGTTTCACCCCCACCTCCCCACACGACCTCTTACATATCATCCATGAACCAAAGACCAACTCGCAGTTTCCCACTCGGGTTCCGCTCAGACAACGGCTTGGCTTGCGATGTTACCCAACAGTCTACCCAGAATGTGTCCCGCCCATCTCAATTTTCTTCTATATATTTTCTGAGCAACAAATTCCTGATTAGTGCGTTCCAGTGCAAAGTTTCTTTTTGCTTAACCTTTCCCTCCAGCCAAATGATCTTCAGTATGGAGCCAGAGAAGTGGGCAGCAGTCAATAAACGTCTGCAGTAATCTATTGAAAATGCCTTGCTGGACGTGCATATTAAGTTTCTAATCCATAGAGAGGAACTGACTGACTTACTTAACATTGGTGCTGAAAGTTAGAATTTTGTTCTTTACGCTCAGTGTGAAGTAGATTTCCAATGAGACTCCAGAATAATGAAGGTCTCTATTGCCTTTCCGATCCTGTTCCAAATTTATTCCCTTGATAGTGATTGGTCCTTGCTATTATTGTTGATTGACTATCTTCATCACCTCCATCTGCTCTATGTTCACTTGAAGTCCTGTCTTTTCTGCCTGTCTATTCAGTCAACGTGTTGGCTTTTGTCTGTAAGTCTTCAAATCTACTTGACACTAGACATAAATCAATTCACGAAATCCAGATGCTCTGAAGTTTTCATACCAGTTCTAAATATTCCTGGTTTCTTCCCACACACACACGTACGGTCTTTCACATAATCCAGTCCACCACAGTTAGGCAGACAGCCTTTGCTTTTTACTCCTGTTTTCAATTCAGCGACTTCAGTAAGTTTTCCGTTGTAGATCATCTGACAGGTGATACTGTCATACAGCTGCTGAATGGTCAGCACCTTTGTGTTAGACATCTGACCATTCGATGCTGACGCGTACAGTTGCTCCTCCTGAATCCATCTTGTTCCTGGGAACTGAGCTGTGCATCCTCGTGCATCTTTTAATCTCTACAGGATAACACAGCTCAATATTTTTTCCTTAGCGTCGACAAGAGCATGACTCCACACCAGTTCTTACAGAGTCCCATAACACTTTTCTCCAGTAGTTTGACAAGTACTGTCATGTAAGACACTAAGAACCTGCCAGACTCACAGAACTCAACCACAAGAAAAAGAATCCCCCCCTGATCTATCAAAAATCTTCTCCATTCATCTCTTAGTTAATCGGTTATTTTTTTTCTAAAAAAAAAACTTTCCTTCTTCGCTAACAGAGATTATAGATTTTATCTACCCAGTGTGTTTCTCACAAAAAACACACACACTAAAACTCTGATGAATTGATGCGAAGTTGGGTAGAGGCAAAGTAAAAGCAGCAGGGCCAGTGAGCTTTAATTATGTCATTAACCCTGTGTAAGGAAGCGTGAGTCTACACAGCCACACATACATAGACAAACTGACTTACAGATGTAGAAATGTGTTCACTCATTTCAATTCATATTTCAAATTTCCAGTTGTTGTTGTTTTATTTTCGTTATTTTGTTTGAATTATCTCTCCTGTTGAATGAATATTGTGTTCAATATCAGATAACATAAATAAATAACGTAATGTTGCATTGAAAAAGCTGTTCATTTTGATGTTTAGATGTTTATCTTTGTGTTTCTTTTTTGTGGGAAAACAATTCTTCTCCTTATTATTTTTTCGTTTTTGTTTGTATATTTCTTTCATCGAACTATACCACATGAAGTTTAGGTTAAAACGACTAAATAGGGGATGAGGTGGGTGTGTGGGAAAGCCATATAAAGTTTACAGTTGAGACCAAAATTTGGTAGTAAGTGGAAAGCCACTGAAGGAAAAGAATCACTGCCAGACTGTAGAGTTATTCACTTAATTTTGTCATTAGCAGTAACGTGGATCCAACAGGGTGGAATTATCGAACATTCTCAGCTTGTAGAGATCAGGTTTTGTTGGCTGGGATTACTGAAGTACTATGGACTTTATCTTAGGCATCAGAGGAGGCTCAAATCGGTATATGTCACTCTAGCTATCATCCATCACACTTCCACCTTTGGTAGCCTGCCTAAAAGTTGGGC